TTCTCTCTCATTGATATTGCTTTTTTGGTTTGGTTTGTTTTTTCATATTCTTTCGCACTCAGTAACCCCTCTTACTGGCATTATTGCCATGGTTGGGGTGACATGGTAAAAAGAAAAGATATGGTAACCATTTTATTATTACTGGTGAGCAAGTAGATGGGTGAGAAAGTAGATTGTCTACGTATTGCTCACCCTTTTTTCGTTATAATCTTAGCCTCGAAACACAATAGCAAGCGGTTGGATTTATGCATTTCACAAGGATAATTGCAAATAGTCACACAATTAGTCACACCTGTATTTTTTCAAAATATATATATATGTCTCACACTGAGTAAATGCATAATATTAGTATATGAGTTATATTTTTAATTAATGATTATATAGTATAATTAACTAAACTAAATATTAGTTAGCTAAACTGAATATCTAGTAATTAATAACAACGTGTACTGTTCGAACACTTCCCGCCAAAAAAGACTAAAAATGACGTGAATTGACTGAAAAGTTAAAGAAGGCACGATATGAAGGCCATTCGCAAATTTAAAGCTGTATGGTTAATTTAAAAATCTTCTTTTATTTTTCAATACACATGTAGAAGAATGTGCACTTATGTTTTATAGATTACATAAAAGCATTTATCGAGGTGCAGCATAAGGATCTATTTGAACTACTAGGAAAACTCAATCTATTTGGAAAAGATGTCAGAATAGCCCATAAATTACACTGGGAGCAAACTACCTGCGCAGGGATAGAAACTCAATGGAGTAGTTACACAATAAGAGAATGTGGTGTGAGACAAGTATGAATCTTCTCTCCAGATTTATTCATTCTCTACAGCAACGCTATCCAAAGGGAACTAGAGATGATATCAGGATTTATTATCGATGGAAGTACTCTTAACAATATATGATACGCAGATGGCACCTTGTTGATGACAGACTCGGAGAGAAAACTACAGGACCTTTTAGACAATGTTGTATAAGAAAGCGGGGTAAAGGATTAACCAGCAACAAGAAGAAAAGAGAAAATCTGGTCATCAGCATGAGAAACAGTCCAATTTGTAACGCGACTTACAAATTGGAGATATAAACATCAGGTAGGTGCAAAAGTTTAAATATTTAGTAAGTGTTTTAACAGATGATGGAAAGTGTGACAGCCTGATCTGTAAATGCATTGGTCTAGCAAAAGAAGCATTCTAAAAGCTAAACAAGGTGCTGAGAAACGGGAAGATTTCGATAGAAACAAAGGAAAGGAAAGGGCTGGATTGCTATGTGTTATCCATCCTCTTATATGGTAATGAATTCTGGATAATTTCCCCGTGAGGACGAGGAAAAAATTACAAGCAGTAGAAATATGGTTCTGCAGAAAGATATTGAGAATTCCATTGACAGTGCGAGTATGCAACAAAGAAGTCTTGAGAAAAATGGCAACAGAAAAAATACTTCTAATCAGAATCAGGAAATGACTGCTGAAATTTCTTTTACACATAACGAAGAAGAATTTTCTATTTTAGATTTACATTAGATTATTTTAAATTTATTACAGAAATTGCCAAATTTATAAAAATATGTAGTTGTAAAGAATTTTCTCAAATAAAATTGTTTTTCTTTAACATGAAAAAATCAATGTTATAGTCAAAACTGACAGAAGCAACAGTTTACACAAAACCAATTGAGAGACAAAAGTTTCCCATTTTTTAAAAGGATTTTGTGCTAGCACTCTAGCAACAATTCAAACTAACGCAGTTTGTCAACACGAAAGATGTGTAAGGATATGTTAGGCGAAATGATGCTCTGAAAAACGTTTATCACATTCAAATGATGAAAATTTTAAATAATTTGTAGAGAATAGCAAAAGAATTGAGGGAAATCAAGGGAAAAGACAAGTCATTTATACAGGACGCTTGTTGTAAAATGTCGCAACTCCCACTCTTCAATTAGAAAATTGAAGTGCTCACTTCAACAGCTACCGTTCAGATGATACGAACTGGCTTATTTTAGACTGTCTCTATGCATCCACTTCTGAGAAAAAACAAGAAATAAAAAAGAGAAACTGAAAATTCATAAAATTATTTTCTGGCCAATCAGTAAAGATTCAACCAACATTTCATTTTCGAACCACTTCAACATTATATATATTACTGCCATCAATTCAACCGAAACCTGTCTTCACTCATTTTGTCCGAGAACTTACCAAAGGCATCTATCCACTAAAGCCCGATACCTACGACTGAAAAGGGGGCGCCGAAAAGTCCCATATTAGCAGCAGCAGTCGAAGCCACTACGCAATGAAAGCTTCTAATTTTACTAAATAGTGTATATATTTTCTGGCGTAATCTTTCTCTACAACAAGGATACAATACCATTTTTGATGTGGTAGAATCCCGAGATGAACTCTCTAATCATTTTTGTATATCATCCAAAGTAAAAACGTAAATAAATCCTCATCTCCATTGTTGTGTATTAAATATTAACCGTTGAGCGTACATGCAATGGCTTAATTAATGTTTGTACACATTTACTTAACAGTGACTATTTGTATTAGATTCAAATTACGACAAAATTTTAAAAAGTTATTATGACCAATGCACATGACTAATACAAATATTTTGTTCTTTGTTCGCTTAAATTATTAACAAAATATGTAGCTACAGTGTTTGCAGTGAATGTAGACAAATCAATCTTTAAATATAATCTTCTATATATTCAACTAAGGCGGTGTCTCGTGGAAACGTCGCGAAAACTTATCTTCTTGAGAAATGGAAGTGAAATATTCAGTGTGTCCTGGATGTTTTAATAGCCAACGTGCAGACATAGTAGAAAGCAAATGACTTGGTGATATTTTTTAATAGCAAGATAAGAAAAACGTGTTTCTTTTAAAATTTTAAATAGGTCATGTAAATTACGCAATCTACATTCTTAAAGCTTGATAGAAAGCGTGATAGAAACTTTACCCAATTTAAGGATGGAGTCTTCTTCATTAACTACTGCTGAAAATAGCCATATTGACTTATCCAGTGTTCCATATTAGTCAGATTAGATATGATGTCTAAAACCAACAAGAGATTTAGCTAGATTCAAGTGAGAATAAAAGCAGCAGAAGACAGCTCTAATCAAAGAAAATCCAAATTTTTAAACAAACGTCATCGAACCAATCTTCAAAAACATATTGACTATTCTGGGTTCAGTTGGAAATTCCAGCGTATATCACCCGAAGAAAGCCGGGACGTACAACGACAGAAACGTTGTGAATATAACAATAAAAATGCGGACAAAAGTCCGAACAATGTAAATAGTGTAAATTGGAACTTGTTTGTTCTCATTAATGTAAGAATTTGTTCTTAGTTTTATGATTAAAATATTATTTACAAAAGTAGCAAAATTATGAGTAAAAGTACTGGTCAGAACAAATGTACATATTACAGAATGAGTCAATACTCTATTTTCAAGGACTTAGGGTAAATCTGTCAAAAGCAGTGAATAAAAGAGTTTCTTTTAAGATATTTGTTGATGGCTCCCAAGTTTAATTCTGTCAAAAGAGCCAGATCAGGCCTAAAATCGAGTACTGTTTCCATATTTGGGCGGAATCTGTGCAGACCACACTCTACAGCCTTGAGTTCAAAAGCGTCTTCGAGCCCTTGTGGATGATGAACTATTCTCCACGCTTCAATCTCTCTCCCACAGGCGGGACGTGGGAAGCCTCTCACTCTTCTACCACTACTTCCACGGAAAGTACTCGGACGAACTACACTTCTTTGTCCCGCCGAGGCAAACCTTCACAGGAAGAACACGTCATGCTATTTACATAGCGAACCACCCACATTCCCTCTGTATCCCATCGAACAGCGTATTCCTGCGAAACATTGCCCTGTGGAACCGACTCCCAACTGGGTGTTTTCCTGATCACTACAATCTTCTTAACCTATTCAAGGCAGGGTTAAACCGTTGTTTTCCACTCCAACACACACAAATGGCCTCCAGCGGTAACCCTCTTCTTATGTTGTATTGTGGGCATGAGACTCAGATTTTAATTTTTCACTTTTAATCCGGGTAAACTGATCATACAGATTTAACAATGAATTCAAGATATGAACTTTTCCCCTTTCAAGGGGTTTTATTAAACACACCTCAACGTCTGTCTTTGTACTTTAGCATTTTCATGGTTTTAAACACACCTAAATGTGTGTATGTTATCTTTTCCCTTTTAAATGTGTATATGTGGACTTACTCTTCTTCCCAAGGGTCTTATTCACCATACGATGTATAAAATATCCAAATAAATTGTTATTTGTTGATGAAGAAATCTTTATCTTCTTGTTCATTTTAAATTCACTTGATGACTTGCTTAATCATTGCGTTGTACGTTGGATTAAGATTGCTTTATTCCGAACAGTACCCGGAATAATTAGTAATCGCTGCCACGATCTTATACGAGTTTTAGCCACAAGAACCAAACACTTTCTGCGCCCCATAAGTCAACTAGTCTCATAATCTGCTCCCGAGAAAGTCAGCACTGGCAAAAAAATAACAAATAAAAAATACCATTTAAAAATACTAAATTTAAGTCATTATTTAACTCCCAGGTGCACAATACATTAATAAAAAATAAATAAATAGTGAAACATTTTTAAAATTGAAAAAATAATTATGTGTAATGTTCATTTGACAGATCTATCTCAAATCAACTAAAGCATTATGTAACAGATTCTACTGTGCCAGTCTTCTAACTTTAGAAAACAACATTCAAAATTGCCTGGGAACTGAATATACACTCTGGGACTGGGACGCATCGAGAAAAAGAGTTTTTAAAAAATACTAGAAAACTACATACACTTCTTAGTTAACAACACATGCACAGACAAAAACATCAGCATAAAAAAGAATAAAACATACCGATTAAAAAGTTGAAAAAAAGAGTGCACAGAAACACACACACACAAAAATAGGTCAGTTGTTGTAGTAGAGGTAGTAAGTACTACAAAAAGTTAAGCATCAAGAAACATGGAGTCAATAATGACCAATAACAGTAACACCAACAACTTCGTATTCCCAAATTATGTTATTGTATGCATATTCCTAATTCTTCTCTATATGTAAGTATAGTTTGAGTCTACAATTCTGTTGGTTAATATTGCAAAAACGTATTTGATTTTCTTGTACTTTATTGCCAGTCAAAATAACTTCGTTCGATTGTTACGGGAAAAAGAAAACTCAAACTAAAACCGTGTTTATTTTTTTTAAAGTTGACTTTTACTTTCATTTAAAAAACTTCATTAATTAATTACTCTCTCCCTTTTTTTGTTTTTTGTTGTTTATTTTTTTCTTTTCTGCTCTAAAACTAAAAAGGTCTTTGTTGTATTTGAAACGTATTATAAAAAAAATACTAAACTAGAGAAAAATTTTAAAAATTCAAACTAGAAAGGAGGTGATTGAAAATTGTCAATTTCCCTCATTGAAGGAATTTAATTTTTTATACGCTTTTCTAAGAGGTTGTTTTTAATGTGGAAGTTGACGCACACCACAACAACCTCGTAAATTCAGCCTTTCTCTCGGAGTAGTTTAACTCAAGCCCCAGGCGTGGGGTATCCCTCAAGCTCAAGCAGTACCTTTCCTTCGGTAAGGCCAAGGGACTGGGGTCATTACTCGGGGTCATGAGTCTCCTGCAACTGGTCTAGAGACATTTTTTTTTAAATTAAATTTTCTTAAATAATAAAAATGATTTTTATTATTTAAGAAAATTTAATTTATACTACAGAGCTTTTATTTTTATAAAAGATAAAAAAGAAATATAATTCTCACTTCAAATTTTTGTTTTAGTTTTCAATCCAAATTTATTCAATTCAAGTTGAATTAAAAACTTATTTAAATCTGCTTCCATACGGGTAGTTTAAAATTGCAAATTCGATATTTAACTTAAATTAAAATTATTTCGTGTTTTACATTTTTTTAATTAATTTTTTTTCTCGAAGCGAAATTTATGTTCCGATTTCGAAATTTTCTCGTATTTTTTTAATTTGATCATTTTCATTATTTTTTATAATTCTATTGTATTTAATTTTAATTTTAAGGTTCAGCAAAGTAATAAGATGTCTTTTCAGGCAAAAATAGCATAAAATTAATTTTCAAATTTATCCACTTTATTTATTATTTTTTTAAATTTTCTTATTTTCTGAAAATTATATTTTGTTCGTTGAAAAGTAATTTTAAAATTAAGAAACGTCATTAAAACAAATTTTTCATCTTTTTGCAGTTGTTTTTTTTTTTCAGTATCTCCAAACTTCAAAGCATCGGTTCTTTTTTATTCTTGCTTGAGTGTTATTGTGTATGCTGTTGTGTACAAAGAATTCGTCACTTAATTCACCCTCAAAACAACATTAAATTTTAAAAACTGACTTAATCAAACTTTTGTAAAAGTTAGATATTATTTGAAAGACTATTTTATTAGGAGTCACACAGATTTTAAATGCTCGAAATTTTAAGCAACGATGAAAATATTACAATCCAAGTGTCAACTACTTAAATTGTATTAGTGTTATGTAATGAGACTACACATGATAATAATGTGTGGGCTGTACTAGTGTGAACAATTTTTTGTATTTCTTTAAGTCATGGGCTTCCAGGAATATCTTCAATTAATCTTTTCTAACCATTCCGAGGGATCCAACTACAACAGGGATTGTTGATGTTGTCTGTTGTCATGTGCCAAATTTTTTAGATTTATTATTATGTTAAAGTAGTATGCCAACAAAGATATACTTATATTTTAATATTTTTTTATTAATTACTTGGTATGAATATGATGAATAACCGTTCTTATTTGAATATTTTTATAAAATCTTTTTTTATATACATTAACTTAACAACTGCATATTCCATAATTTCCGTTCATACGATACTATCTTGATTATATAAGTAAAAATATGTTATTGTTATGTAACAAATTGTTACACTGTTAAAACAAGAAATGCCATAGGGAAGCTGAAGCATTTAAATGATTTTAGCAACTCGAATGAAAGTATCAAATTCAAATTCCTTTTCACTTAAAATTTGTTTTATAAAAGTAAAACTTTTAAAAAAAAAAAAAAAAAGGAAAAGAAAAAAAATTTGTTTACATTTTTAGTTAGTGACAAACCTGCCGGACTTGAAATAAAGCCCTGTTTCCAATATTTTCATAAACTCCCATATTTTTTTTTTATCAACAAATGAGACAGAATCAGCAAAAACTAAAAACTGTTTATTTTGTTACTTTTTTTAGTTAAGTAAAAAAACGATCTCCCTTGTTGTGATTAAATGACTTCTGATTGATTAAGAAAATTCAAAATTTACTGAGTTACTCACTTGAACAAAGTTATGTAATACTGTTATTAAGTAGATCTATCTTTACAGATCATACATTTGAAAGATTATTACAATCTGCGACCTGTATTTTAAAACAGAATTTACCATTGTTTCTGAGTGTGCATAAAAAAGTTTTTTCCCAAATATATGGATGACCGGAAATGATATTAAAATGTCACGCGTTTTAAGAGTTGTTTCCCCCGATGGCAATAATATACCCTCGGAAAATTTGACCATTTATTTTTTATTTTTATTAATTTATTCTTAATTGCTTCCCTGGACCCATATTCTAATCACATAATTTTCAAGATAAACATTTCTTAGGTATCCAATACTTAAAAAATAAATAAATATTTTTCCATATCTAGCTTCACTTAAGTAAGGATAATGGCTAGTTAGCTTGTCTCGCTAAAACAGTTATGTCTGGAGAGTGAGTTCGATCCTCACTGGGTATACAATACGTTAGGCCTTTTGGCATATCTAAGCTACGCTTATAAAATCAGTATCTATCTTTATTTACTTTAAAGTAAAATTTCCCTTTTTTTTTTCCTTTTTTTTTTTTTTTTTTGCACCTTTATGCAATATGAATAAAAACATATAAAGTTCGTTTTAACATGTATTTCTATTTACATCAAGTTGTAGGGAAAAAACCGGCACTGCATTTCTTAAAATTATAATCTGAAAACAGACTTATCATAAATTTCAAAGCCTTAAACCGGGAACAGGTTTCTTTTTTAAATATAGCGTTTTCTTTTCATGATCAAAATATTTCTTAAGCTTCAATCTCTCTCTCTCTGATAGACATATATATATATATTAAGAAATGGACAAAGTCCGACAATTTATTTATTAAAGACATTTTTATGTTTAACGTTCTTTTTTTTTTATAGATACAAGTATTTAAGTAAATGCTCTGTTTATAATAAACAGTATTAAATAACATTTACCGGCCTGAATGTCAATGGCTATCGGTAAGGCACGTCAGCATAAATGACGGTTCCGTATAGGATGCAGGTTCGAATCCTGTCAAAGAACGAATATTTTCTATGAAAATTTCTCGGACATTCAGGCCGGTAAATGTTATTTAATACTGTTTATTATAAATAAACATTTACTTAAATACTTGTATCTATAAAAAAAAAGGAACGTTAAACATAAAATGTCTTTTAATATATATATATATATATATATATATATATATATATATATAATAAGTATTATGTACACTATTTACATTGTTCGGACTATCATCCTTAACTAGGTACTGAACTCTTTGGGTCCTGTCACCTGATCTAACTAACGCCTTTATCCACTGTGCTGTGTCCTTGAGGAGATGGAGAACTTGGAGAGAACAAGGCAGTGGAGAACTTGGAGAGGAGAATAAACAGGAGATATCTGACATCTATTAGACATGGTACGTGGAACTAGAACAGTCTACCCCAGCGAGCGAAATAAAGGGTTCAGTTCGACATTCCAACCATCTGAAGAAGGCCGGAGCGTACAACGGCCGAAACGTTGTGATAAATATGGCAACAAAAATGAGGATGATAGTCCGAACAATGTAAATAATGAAAACATATCCTCTGTGTTACACCCATTTTCCTCACTATCGCTTGCAAACCAAAAATATATGATTTTTTTTTTTTTTTTTTGCTTAATTTCTTTTAGTCTTTTTCCCTTTGTTGACAGCGTATTTTTACTGTCTGTAAGTTTTCTTTTCTTTTTTTACAGTGGGGTTCAGCCTGTACAAGGCCCGGGGGCCACTCGAGATAGAGGGTTACAGTAAGAGACAGTTTTGCGGATAGGTGTGGAAGATAACGGTTAACCTTAGACATGAGCAAGTCAAGATCGGAGAAACATCTTCTTAGGGGTTGGTTCCGCAGAGCAGTTGTTCGAGGGAAGAAGCTGTTCGGAGACGCTTTTGATTTCTACCGAAACTGGAAAGTGAGGACTGGACAGCTCCTGCATATATAGGGCAGCAGTACTCCATTTTCGGACTGATCTGGCATTTTACCTGCATCTTTAAGGGTGGATCGTATGTACGAGTGCCACTTGAGGTCGGGTAAATTAAAGGCCCAATCGTCTCTCAAGGCACGATGTCTCCTCGAAGGGACATCCGTTCATCGTGACTAGCGGTAGTTCAGGATTCTGATAGGCGGTGACGGAATATAACTAGTTTGGTTTTCGAGGCATTCAATATAACCAGCCATTTTTCCTCCACTGACAAGTCGAAATAAAACCTCGTGTATAAAAATGATAAACGACTGTCGATAGTTGGATTACAATCAAATGCAAACATTACCAAAATCAATAAATTTGAAACTGATATCTGATATCTTTTGTACGCTTAAAGAGAAAAAAAGATTGTATTTTGTTTTCTAAATAAAATCTGTAACATTTACATTTCTAAGTCTTTACAGCATTTTTAACAACTTGGTTCTTTTGAAAACGCCTCTTTTTCCCCCTGTTTTCCAGTATATTCTCCTTTACTATCATTATTATTATTTCGGGGTGATATTGCCTCCCGCCACAATAATGCCATTTTCCTAGAATGTGTTTAATTTTATTGCTTGTGTGGTAATTACATAACTATTACCACTTATTTACACTATTTATATTCGAACTGTTGTCCTCATCTTTGTTGTTGTTATCACAATGTTCTGGCCGTTGTACTCTCTGGCCTTCCTTAGGTATATATCAATTTGTGCAACCTACAGGGAATTCTGAACAGAATCACTTATTTACTCTACGGTGG